ACAGGACCATGATGCTAACAGGACCATTATGCTAACAGAACCAAGCTGCTAACAGGACCATGATGCTAATAGCACCACGCTGCTAACAGCACCACACTGCTAACCGGACCATGATGCTAACAGGACCATGATGATAATAGGACCATGATGCTAACAGGACCATGATGCTAACAGGGCCATGATGCTAACAAGACCACTCTGCTAACAGGACCACTCTGCTACCAGTAACAGTGTTTTTATAACACCATTTTTATTTTAATCTCATTTTATTGTTGCATATCGTTGTCTGTACGTTTTCTGTCTAAAACAAGTCTCTTTTAAATGAGTCCTCGTGACTCACTGAGACTAACCTGTATAAATGTTAAATTTAAAAAATGGTGAAATTACATGTTGTTAACAGATTTGCTTGTTTGCATTTTTTATGAAACTCCTTGCAGATTAATTTAGTCAAAGCCTGATTAAATCTGTGTTTGCAAATCTTTATAGTTTTACACTGAAAACTGCTGTTTATAATGTGAACGATGTGCAAAAATACTATAATTTCTATGGTTTAGTAAATCTGGATTATTGGTGGAATTATTTGGATTATTGGTAGTAAATCTAGGACAGGAAAAAAAACTTTGCTTGAAAGTTTAGATGCAAACCAGTGTAAGAAGGATGTTACTTCTGCTTTTTCCAAGTCTGTGTGTGAAACTAAACCTCAGCCTAAACTGTTCAGCTTCAGCTGTGTGCTGAAATGTAGACGCAGTGCTCACAAGGCATGCTTCAGCTTGAGGTCCTTACAATGTGGTAAAGGCAGGAATGTGTGTTTTAGTTGTATTAATTTAGTAATTTATCTGTTTGAAGATTATTTAATAACTGATATAAATGAAGCCAATCAAGTTTTTAAAAGTTCAGATGAGTTTAAAGTTAAAACCTTAGAGTCCTGGGACTCTAAGACGTCCATGTCTTCAAACAACCTAAGGAACATCTGTTACCCTTCCGTCCAGCGTAAGAAGGATGGAGTCGCTCTTGATGTCTCTGTGGATGACACCTTGAGAGTGGAGGTAGGTTAGGGCCTGCAGAACGCCCTCACACACCGTCGCTATCTGCTCCTCGTTCAACCTGAAGACCACAGTAACAGTCGAGAATGACCAAACCACCGAGTTACTCAATGTTTGTAACACTCGTGGAACGATCTGACAACTCACACACTCACTGAACACATGACACCAGCTCAGACAATTGAGAACAATTTGACTGTTTCTGTTTTCACGCACGTCACCGGATGTACAACTAACTACAGCTAATTGATGTAGCAAACATAAGCTCAGGTAATTTTACAAATATTGATCTAAAGTCTGGCGAAGTGATAGCTGAGTCACCATCACATTCTTTATGCAGGATCTTTTATTTTGAAACCTTGGCATTAAAGGGTGACATGCACAAGGAAAGCTTGTTTGAATTTAAGTGTTGCCTTCTGTTGTATATCTGAACGTCTATTTTTGTAGTTTTGTTTGTCTATTTTATTTGACTTTTCTGGAGGACAGTGGTCTCTTCATTATATTCTACATTTATTGTTGTATGACCAGTTTATGTTTGAAAGGACAATAAAAGCCTCTTGAGTCTTGAACCAAGCGACAGGCTCCAGTGGATTTCTTCTCACCTGGTTTCACCAATGATGTGGGTCAGAGCGCCGCCCTGCAGGTACTCCATGATGACCCACAGCTCATCCTCCACCAACGCGCTGCGGAACATTTCCACAACGTTCAAGTGCTGGTAGTCCCTCATGATCACCACCTGAAAGAAGGAAGAGGTCAAAATACTTTGGTGTTACGATCAAACAACGCCGGTTACGAAAACAGATGCATGAATGTTTAGATACAGAGTAATGATCAAGAGTTTCCTTAAGCCCCGCCCCTTTTCCTCCCACCAGTACCTCATTAAAGAGCAATTCTCTGCGCTGCTGCTTCCTCAGATCCATCATCTTCACCGCTACCTGACGCCCGGTGTGCCTTTCTCGGGCAATGCACACCACACCTGTGGACCCCTCCCCGATTTTCACAAAGTTCTCCAGAGTCATCCTGGGGTCTCCTGGGTCCACAACCATTTGCAGTGCTGCCTTGAACTGCTCATGAGTCACTTTCTGAGGGCCTCCGTTGGGTGGGGTCTTGGTGGGAGTTAAGGGCAGAAAAGCCAGGGGACTCCCGGGGGAGGGGTGGGACTGCGAGGGGCTGCGAGGGGTTGGCGTGCTTACAGTTCTTGTAGGAATGCTGTAGGTGGAGGCAGGACGGGGCGAGAGTTGTAACCCTCTCCCTGTGATGATGGGGCTGCTGGTGCTGTTGGGTGGGGGTAACAGAGGGCGTGAGGAGGGCATCTGAGGAGAAGAACAGAAGAAGAGCCATCAGACACTTCAATTTATTCTGTCTTGATGCCAGACCAGTTTGCATTTGGGTTTCCTTCTCTTAACAGAGTGGGGCAACAAAAGGAGACGCTTGTGGCTCTAGTCCAGCTGCAGAGTACTTAAAGGCTGTATTTTTAATAAGTTTTATTTCATAATTATATAAGTGTAAAAAGTAACTGCATAAAAACGTTAATATAAACAGAGGTGTGAAAGTCAGAGGTTACTTTTACTAAGGCAGAGTTTTACTTATTCTGAAGTCATTTTAAACCACACGACTGTTGTTTTCTTTCACTTACAGAAAATGTTTCAACACCTCTGCACCAACGGGTTAACCTCTTTTGAAGAATGCGGCCTAATAACAGTTTATTTTGGTTTGCTGTAACGTTCACTGGTGATGACAGCCAAAATAGCAAATAAAGCAACTTAAAGGAAAAACAAGCCACTAGGAAAGACAAGTCTTGCGCCGATCCCAAGCCCAGGTAAATGGTGAGGGTTGTGTCAGGAAGGGCATTTGACGTAAAACACTTCTGTCAAAACTATAATGAGAGTTCATCAAAGTGAAACCATACCGGATCGGTCGAGGCCCAGTTAACGACTGACAAACAGGGTGCCGGCAGAAATTGGGCTACTGTTAGTTGAAGACCACGAGCAGGGTTGGGTTAGGGTGGTCCTGAATGAGGAGTTGGAAAAGAATGTAGTAGAGGTGAAAAGAGTGTCAGATAAGGTGATGTGTCTGAAGGTAGAAGTAGAAGGTCTGATGCTAAATGTTGTCAGTGGTTATGCTCCACGGGTTGGATGTGATGTGGAGGAGAAAGATACATCTTGGAAGGATCTGGATGAAGTGATAGAGAGTATTCCCAGGGAGGAGAGAGAGGTGATGGGAGCAGACCTGAATGGACATGTTGGTGAAGGAAACAGAGGATGAGGAAGTGATGGGTAGGTTTCGTGTCAAGGAAAGAAACCAGGAAGGACAGATGGTGGTGGATTTTACCAAGAGAATGGAAATGGCTGTAGTCAACACCTGTTTCCAAAAGAGGGAGGAACATAGAGTGACCTATAAGAGTGGAGGAAGGAGTACGCAGGTCGACTACATTCTGTGTAGAAGAGGAAACCTGAGGGAGATTGGAGACTGTAAGGTTGTGGCAGGGGAGAGCGTGGCCAGACAGCATAGGATGGTTGTGTGTAGAATGACTGTTGTTGTGAAGAAGAGAAAAAGAGTAAAATCAGAGAAGACCAAATGGTGGAAGATGAAGAAGGAAGAATGTTGTGAGAAATTCAGAGAGGAGCTGTTAAAGGCTCTGGGTGGTAAGAAAGAGCTTCCAGATGACTGGACTACTACAGCAACAGTAATTAGAGAGACAGGTAGGAAGGTACTTGGTGTGTCATCTGGACAGAGAATGGATGATCAGGAAACCTGGTGGTGGAATAGTGAAGCGCAGGAAGCTGTTCAAAGAAAGAGGTTAGCCAAGAAGAAATATGACAGAGAGAGGACTGAAGAGAGGAGACAGGAATATAAGGAGATGGGACGTAGAGCAAAGAGGGAAGTAGCTAAGACCACCAGAAGACATATAATGAGTTATATGGGAGGCTGGACACTAAAGAGGGTGAGAAGGACTGGTACTGATTGGTGAGACAGAGGGATCAGGCTGGAAAGGATGTGCAGCAGGTTAGGCTTATGAAAGATAGGAATGGTAATGTTCTAACAAGTGAGGAGAGTGTGATGGGAAGATGGAAGGAGTACTTTGAGGAGCTGATGAATGAAGAGGATGAAAGAGAAAGAAGAGTAGAGGTCATATAAACTGTGGACCAGGAAGTGGGAAAGATTAATGAGGGTGAAGTCCAGAAAGCTCTGAAAAGAATAAGGTTCAATGGCATTTTTGAAGGTTAGTAAATGCCTGAGGAATGCAGAAGAAGTGTGCTGGTGCCCATTTTAAAGAACCAGGGTGATGTACAGAGTTGAAGCAACTACAGGGGAATTAAGTTGATGAGTCACACGAAGATCTGGGAGAGAGTTGTGGAAGCAAGACTTAGACAAGAGGAGACTGTGAGCAGGAGTATGGTTTCATGCCAAGAAAGAGCACCACAGATGCCATCTTTGCTTTGAGAATGCTGATGGAGAAATAGTTAAAGTTCAAGTAGGTTTATTGTTATTCTCACCATATGTGGCACAAGAGGTGGAACAAAATTATTTACACAGGGTCCCGGTTACACCCAAAAATAGCAAAAATATAATGTTTAAGAAGAAACAGTATATAAAGGTCAAAAATATACACTAAACACTAATAATGCTAAACTATACTATTTAAAAACAGCAGCCCGAACATGAGTCTGTGGTGAGCAGATGATATGAATGAATACAGCAACCTGAAATAATCAGCAGCATGAGATCAGCAGCATGGATAATCAAAAACACTGATAAGTCACATATCACCACTTGAAGTGGCATTACAGTGATTTTTTTTCAGTACATAGAGGGTCAGGAAGAACTCCATTGTGTCTTTGTGGATTTAGAAAAAGCATCTGACAGAGTGCCGAGGGAGGAGGTGTGGCGTTACATGAGGAAATCTGGAGTGGCACAGAAGTATGTCAGACTGGTACAGGACATGTATGAGGACAGCAGGACAGTGGTAAGATGTGCTTTCGGAGCGAGATATCTTCAAGGTGGAGGTGGGAGTGCATCAAGGTTCAGCTCTGAGCCCCTTCTTGTTTGCTCTGGTGATGGACCGACTAACAGATTAGGTCAGGCAGGAATCCTCGTGGACTATGATGTTTGCAGATGACATTGTGATCTGTGGTGATAACAGGGAACAGGTGGAAGAGAACTTGGAGAGGTGGAGGTATGCACTTGAAAGAAGAGGAATGAAAGTCAGCCGTAGTAAGACAGAGTCCATGTGTGGATGAGAGGGAGGAGGTGGAACAGTGAGGCTACAAGGAGCAGAGGTCACAAAGGTGCAGGACTTCAAGGACTTGGGGTCCACTGTCCAGGAACATGGGGAGTGTGGTAAAGAGGAGAAGAAGAGAGTCCAGGCAGGATGGAGTGATGGAGAAAAGTTTCAGGAGTGATTTGTGACAAAAGGGTGTCAGCAAAGGTCAAAGGAAAAGTTTACAAGACAGTGGTGAGACCAGCTATGTTGTATGGTCTGGAGACAGAGACGTGGACAAAAAGACAGGAGAAAGAACTGGACGTAGCAGAAATGAAGATGTTGAGGTTCTTCTTAGGAGAGACAAAGATGGAGAAGATTAGGAATGAGATCATCAGAGGTACAGCACAGGTTGAACAACTGGGAGATAAAGTTAGAGAGGACACACTGAGATGGTTTGGACATGTCCAGAGGAGGGACAGTGGTTTGGACATGGCCAGAGGAGGGACAGTGGTTGGGACACGTCCAGAGGAGGGACAGTGGTTTGGACATGTCCAGAGGAGGGACAGTGTGTATATTGGTAGAAGGATTTAGAAATGCAGCTGCCAGGAAAAATACAAAGAGGAAACATATGGATGCAGTTAGAGAGGACATGGAGGTCGTTGGAGGGAGGACAGAGTGAGATGGAAGAGAACTCGTTGTGGAGACCCTGAAGAGGGGAAAGTCGAAAGAAGAAGATGTCGTGTTTCTTTCACAAAACAATATCAGGAGTATTCAAAGAAGGCTGCAACTTAGATTCACCCCAAATCTCAGTTTGTTTTCACTTCACTGTGAAAAGTAAAACTCTTCTCATCAGGAACATTAACTAAATGTTGGCAATAGGTGAAAATATAGGTTTAAATTATATATACATTATTGCATTAAAAAGTGCATGTCAGTGTTTTTAGAGCCTTACCCTGAGGTCATAAGAGGACTGTGGCCTTCTGGGAGTGTCTCTGGAAGATGCCAGCAGGTCAGGCAGGTGGTTCACACCTGGTCTAAGTCTTAGTTGAAACCTGCTGGTCTCTGCAGTCTGTAAGTTGTACAGACAGGAATTTGGTCTCTGTCTTTGTCCCGCCTTCTCATTGCGGACGCATTGTTCACTCACATCACCTGTCCTCAGAGGTGTCCTGGGTGTGAGGGGTGTGGCCTCAGTTGGAGAGCCCACCTGGGAGCTAGACTTGGTCCTCGGAAGGTCTCTGTTGATCTTGGGGCTGCCGCTTTCACTGCGCACCTGTCTGATGCGGTCCTGCCAGTAGGTGGAGCTCCTGCCGGCCTTCACGCTCTCACCGCGATGGTTGATCTTCTCGTAGTGGTACGACTCGTCCTCCACCACTTCCCCCAGCCTGCCCATAGACTGGGCCCGTTTCCGTGCCGACGGGCTGCTGCGGCGCAGAGAGTTGGAGCTGGTGACGGACACGCGGCCCATGTCGGCGATGACCTGACTGATGTAGTCACCATGGCCGATGAAGCTGCCGCGAACGATCGTCTGCGGACACAAACCAACGCCAGGTTACAAACGATTGTGTTCGGGGTCCTCTGATCCAATCAGACGTGTCAATAACAAATAATATGTTTGGATCAATGAGATCCAAGATGGCCACCACAGCTGATCAACCATAGCAAACATCAAATAACTATAGTTAATGTAGTTAATTTAATTTTACAGATATTGACCTAAACTGGATGTGGTAAAGGCTGAGGGTTAACCTCAACAGATCCAGATGTGGGCACCGTCTGCTCGAAGCGGTACTCAAGGTGTGGGATCTTTCCTGAAACATTTACCGTAATTTCTGGATTATAAGCCACTACTTTTTTTCACAGACTTTGAACCCCATGGTTTATACAATGTTGCAGCTAATTTGTGAATTTATTTATTCTGACGGGCTAACGAGCTTCCTGCTGCCAAAGCATTTATCCTCATCACACATGGGTGCTCACAGAGCTGCCCACTGCATGTCTCTCTTGGGGGGTGGGTCCTCCTGACTCAATAAGACTACCTGCATAAATAAAGGTAAAAAAAATCTCACCATAGAAATTACCAAACAAGTCACAGTGGACCAATGAAATGGGGAGGGGAAGAAAGAACGGGATGCGGGGGAACCCCCACTCCCGTGAGGTGGGATTTCCCAGCATGCACAGAGCAACTTTTGCTCGGCTGCCAGTGGATCCTACACACACACAAATAAAATAATTATTTTTCATTTTAGTGGGCGTGGCTTATATTCAGGTGTGCTCCATAGTCCAGGAATTATGGTAATCCTAACTCTTGGAAACAATCCTATATGTCTGTTAGCAAAATATCTTGCAGACGTTCCTGTTTTTGGTATTTTACATCGCTTTGTAATGTAGCTGTTTTTGTTTACCGTTAGTTTGTATTTCATTTATTTTATTTACTTTTCATTTTATATGCTTGTCTATCGTTGTCTGGACCTCATCTGTGTTCTTTGTTTAAACCAGGTCTCTGTTGTAAACGAGTCCTCGTGACTCAATGAGCCTAACCTGGATAAATAAAGGTCGAATAAATAGGACCTCACAAGCCCCTTGCACATATACATTTAATTACTTTGAGTTTAATTAATAATATCTGTTTGTTGTTTTCCTGTTTATGATTTCTTCTATATGTTTTTTGGGACTAACTGCTTCAGCGTATTTTTACAGTTCATAGATCAAAACCTTTGACTGCTGGTTTTTGTGACTGTTGTACTTTATAAATTATTAAACATTATTTACATTTTTCCCGTTGAAATAAACGGAGTCCTCTTGAAAAACTTTGACCGTTGCAATCTGTTTCACTAAACTTGTTTCTCTTTTACATACTGTCTGATAAACTTCGCTTTTACGGTTTGTTTTGCACATTTAGGGCTTTTGGTCCCGTTTTGCTGATTTTAGATTTTAGCTGCTGTTCGGCTGGTCTTAGCTTTTAATTCATGTTTTGCTAAATTTAGCCTTTAGCTCTAATTTTGCTAATGTTAGCTTTCGTTCAAACCATTTTAACTTCAACCCTTGTGCTTCAACTGCAACAAGCTCTGCATAACTTTGTATTTTCACAAGTTTTCTGGTTAATATTTGGCATTAGTCCAATTAAAGATGGCTGCCATGGATAACCAACCCTAGCCAACACAAAACTGGCTGCAGCTCCGTCAGTTTTACAGATATAGAGCTAAAGTTTGATGTGGTAGTAGCTGGCAGTCCATTATAGCAGACACTTAGAGCTTAACAGATTGTGCACATTGTTTAGTAGTCAAACCCATTTCATCATAAACAATCTCAGCTTAACATTCATAAAAGATTGCCGGCGTTGTGCATTCCTTCAAGGAACGCTAGACCTTTAACTGATGAACGATTCTCCCTCTGAAATGTTTTGACTGGGAAGAAACTGAATCGGAGTCAGCGCTCGTGAGCTGTGAAGAAACACTACACCCATGGGAAACTCTGTGGTTGTGTTCACAACATAAGAGTTTGGGTTCGGGTGTTGTTTGTGAGAAAAAGATCACTGGACGGAGATATGATGCAACCAAGCTCTAAAGGAAAAGTTTAATCTGTCTGGGTGTTGACCATCGAGCTACTTTGTTGTATTTTTGGACTAAAACCAGTTACTTTAGTCGAGCCAGCTCACCCAGTGTTGTAACTCTAAACATTGACAGTTTAACAGGAGACTGAGGAAATCAGGCGTGGTTGGACGTAGTTACACATCGCTTTAAACTCAACGGTGGATCCACGTCACAAAAACAAAGTTTCAATGCTTTAAATTCGACCTCTGACCTTTCTGGGTTCAAGTTCAATGTTGGTGATCCTGGAGGGGTCCACGAGGGGGCGTGGCCTCTTCAGCGTTTCGATGACGCTCTGCCACTGGGGCGGCAGGCCAACGTACTGGCCCGTGGAGGTGTCGAACGACGTGTGGACGCGGTGCTGAAAGTCCTTTGGCGCCGAGATCTCCAGCCGGTGCTTCTTTTTCCTGCGGCGGAACATTGCCACGGCGACGGAGCGGCAGCTGCTAGGGAGTGAGACCCGAGGGAAACAACAGGAAGTGGCGTCCGGATGAGGTGACGACCAGGAGCGACGCTGCTGACCCTGCTGAGACATGATGGAAGGCAGAGGAGCGCTCAGTCTGAAGACTGAAAACACACAGACGGAGTGTGAGAATCAGAGCGCTGACAGCTCGTCTTCCTGCTCAGGTGACTCACCTGAAGTCACATGACCTCCTCACCTGTCAGACACAAACCAACCGAGCAGCCCAGGTGAGATACCGCCCGTTTAATCTCACAAGAATCTGCTTCACTTAAGACTGTTTGTTGTTTGTGTACAGTGGATTTACTGATGAAGAGTTCTTCTTTCATGAATTAAAATAAAACAGAATCCCCGAGTCACCCCCCCCCCCCCC